AGGGAGGGTTGCCCAGGGCTGTGCCGGGCTGCCCAGGGCAGTGGTGGAGTCCCCACCCCTGGAGGGGTTTCCAAGCCGTGGAGATGTGGGGTGAGGGACACGGGGCAGTGGTCACCTGGCAGTGCTGTGGTGACAGTTAGACTCCATGACCTCAACCATCTCTTCCAACCAGCACGTTTCCACCATTCTCTAAAAATCAGGCAGCTTCACCCACCCTCCTTTCATCCCAGGGTACCACGGCCGTGTTGCCCTCTGCCATCCTGCCCTTGGCGAGCTCCCTTGGTGGCAGATGCCAACCCCGGTGCCCCTCTGCAGGGCTGCTGAGCGACAGGAAGAAGGTGACCCTGGGGACCCAGCCCACGGTGCTGAGGACCTTCCGTTCCCTCTCCACCACCAACGTCTTCGCTTGCTCCGACCGCCCCACCGTCATCTACAGCAGCAACCACAAGCTGGTCTTCTCCAACGTCAACCTCAAGGAGGTGAACTACATGTGTCCCCTCAACTCGGATGGGTACCCCGACAGGTGAGCCTGGAAACTGCCAGGGGAGTCGTTGGGACCTCAAAGAGAGAGGTGGAGGCTGGAGAGAAGGGAGAAATGTTGGATGCTGAGGGGGGTGAGCCCCTGGGCCAGGCTGCCCAGAGAGGTGGTCGCTGCCCCATCCCTGGAACCATCCCAGGGGAGGTTGGATGGAGCTCTGAGCACCTTTCTCTAGTTGGGGATGTCCCTGACTTGATGACTTCTGAAGGTCCTTCCCTGACTTGGTGACTTCTAAAGGTCCTTCCCTGACTTGGTGACTTCTGAAGGTCCCTCCCTGACTTGGTGACTTCTGAAGGTCCTTCCCTGACTTGGTGACTTCTGAAGGTCCCTCCCTGACTTGGTGACTTCTAAAGGTCCTTCCCTGACTTGATGACTTCTAAAGGTCCCTCCCTGACTTGATGACTTCTGAAGGTCCTTCCCTGACTTGATGACTTCTGAAGGTCCCTCCCTGACTTGATGACTCCCAAAGGTCCCTTCCCACCCAAACCAGCCTGACTCTGTCAGGACCACCAAACACCATCCTGACACCAGCAGTTTTGAGGGTGTGGAGGAAAGGGAGCTTCTTGCTGGGACTCCCACCATGGCTCAGGGTGGTTTTTTTTCCCCCCCATCCAGCTTGGCCTTGGCCAACAACAGCACCCTGACCATTGGCACCATTGATGAGATCCAGAAGCTGCACATCCGAACAGTTCCCCTCTACGAGTCCCCCAGGTGAGCAGAGCAGGAGGAGGGCTCCATCCCCAGGCTGCTGAGGGCAGGCTGGGTGAACCAGGAGCTCTTCTTCTCTCCAGAGCCTCCTCAGGGTGGCCTCTCCTGGCCCTCCTGCCCACCCAGCTCTCTCTGCCCCCCAGGAAGATCTGCTACCAGGAGGTGTCTCAGTGTTTCGGCGTCCTCACCAGTCGCATCGAGGTGCAGGATGCCAGTGGGGGCACCACTGCCCTCAGACCCAGTGCCAGCACCCAGGTGAGGGGGGAGCTCCCAGGTGATCCCAGAGCTCTGCTCTCTAGGAGTCGTCCTCCTCAGCCCAAATGGTGATGCAGATTTTCCCTGGCAGTTGGTTCTTCCAAAGCTCCACGTGTTGAGGTGCTTTGGCAGCCTGGGATCTTCTCCTGATGGTGACCAGGGCTCTCTGTGCTGCTCTCTGACAGCTCAATCTGATCACTTTTGCTTTGGGCACTGCTCTGCAGCCTCCCATAAAGTTTTCTGTTTGCTTTTGGGTGATTTCCTCCTCCCAGGGATGCCAGCACAGAGCCAGTAGCTCTGGTGGAAACCACAACACTGATGGAAACACAACAGAGCAGCAGAAATCCTCTGCTGAGGCTGTTGCTCAGCAGTGCTGCCTCTGCTGTCCATGTCACAGGTCTCTGCTGCTGCAGGGAGCCTGTCCCTGGACTCAGCCCCAAGGAGCTCCTTCCTTCACCACCTCTCTGCTCACTCTGCTGGTCCTTGGTTGCCTCAACCCCCGTGGAGCAGCGTGAGGGTGCTGAGCAGCAGGAGGATGTGACTGATTTTACTCCCCTAGGCCCTGTCCAGCAGTGTGAGCACCAGCAAGCTGTTCTCCAGCAGCACAGCACCCCACGAGACCTCCTTTGGAGAGGAGGTGGAGGTGCACAACCTGCTCATCATAGACCAGCACACCTTTGAAGGTACCACCCCCAAACACTGCCTGTGCCCCAGCCACAGACTCACAGCAGGGTGGGGGTGGGAGGGAGCTCTCGGGATCATCT